TTATCTTCACTACAAAATGGTCCAGAACCTTTACACCTCTCTTCATCAGTGCCATGTATTGGACAAGAAACTTAATTCTTCGCTAAAATAATAAATAAATAAAAACTGTAAAGGTTTTTTTTTTATACTCGAAACATATAAAAATGGTACAAAGTTTTATTTTTTAAATACTGAAACTTTTCTGTGGTGATAATTTAACAATTAATTGAGAAATTCTTATTTAAAAAAATATCCCATGTGTTCAAACATTTATATTAATACCACATTTTTTTAAAACTATATTGTATTCTTTTCAATTTTAATAAAACATATGTAATGTTTTGAATTGCAATAAAAATTTATTTATATTTTTAATATGGTCAAAACTATTCTTTTCTTGTTTTTAGTTCTAGTACCTGTATAAGCATCAGTAGGACGTATCACAATTTTTAACCGAGGTACTTTGGGAAAATCCCCAGGGCTATCTTCTCTATAAAATGGCCCAGAACCTTCACACCTCTCTTCATCAGTTCCTTGTATTGGACTAGAAACTTCATACTTAGCTAAAATATCAAATTAAAAATAAACGGTATAAGTTAATTTCTATAATGGTATCATATAAAAATGGTACAATGTTGAATTTTTGTAAAATAGAAAATTTTCGGTGGTAATTATTTAAAAACTAAATAAGAAATTCATATAAAAAAAAATATCCCATGTGTTCAAACTTTTATATAAATACCACATTTTTTTAAAACAATATTGTATTCTTTTCAATTATAATAAAACATATATAATGTTTTGAATTGCAATAAAAAATTTATTAATATTTTTAATATTGTCAATAATTATTATTTCCTTGTATTAAGGTCTAGTACCTCTACAAGCATCAGTAGGACGTATCACAATTTTTAACCGAGATACTTTGGAAAATCCCAAGGGCTATCTTCACTACAAAATGGTCCAGAACCTTTACACCTCTCTTCATCAGTGCCTTGTATTGGACTAGAAATTTCATTCTTAGCTATAATATCAAATAAAAAAGAAACTGTATAAGTTTATTTCTATACTTGTATCATATAAAAATGGTACAAAGTTGAATTTTTGTAAAATAGAAAATTTTCTGTGGAAATTATATAGAAATTAAATAAGAAATTCATATTTAAAAAAATATCCCATGTGTTCAAACATTTATATTAATACCACATTTTTTTAAAACAATATTGTATTCTTTTCAATTATAATAAAACATATTTAATGTTTTGAATTGCAATAAAAATTTATTTTTTTTTTTTTTATGGTCAAAACTATTTTTTTCTTGTTTTTAGTTCTAGTACCTGTACAAGCATCAGTAGGACCTATCACAATTATTACCGAGGTACTTTGGGATCATTTCCAGGGCTATCTTCACTACAAAATGGTCCAGAACCTTTACACTTCTCTTCATCAGTACCTTGTATTGGACTAGAAATTTCATTTTTAGCTAAAATATCAAATAAAAAATAAATGGTATAAGTTTATTTAAATACTGGTATCATATAAAAATAGTACAAAGTTGATTTTTTTTAAAACAGAAAATTTTCGGTGGTAATTATTTAAAAATTAAATAAGAAATTCATATTAAAAAAAATATCCCATGTGTTTAAACTTTTATATAAATACCACATTTTTTTAAAACAATATTGTATTCTTTTCAATTAAAATAAAACATATGTAATGTTTTGAATTGCAATAAAAAA